GATAAATAATTTAATTCGAGTTATAGAGTGAACTGTTCGAACACTGGTTATACATATAAGAAACGAAGGAGCGAGAAAATGACTATTCACCTCCAGTGACATTTAATATTACGATAAGGGAGAGCAACAGTACTATCAGTGCCGTCGATTAATCTTGCGAGAATATTGCTCTCTTCAGAACGATGCCTGATGTCGCAACGCATTAAAATTAAAATTCAATTCATTCTGCCATTTTATTTGAGAGCGTCTGTTAATATTTTTAATACATTTATGCTCCTCAAAATTCGCTAATGACGGAACTCGTAAAAGGATCAATCGAAAGTTTAAACAGTCTTTGGTAACTCGGCTTTAATTAGGTGATCTCTCTCGCTGATGGCTCCTGATGCTCGTGTTCGTTTTTCGATGAAAATTTTCCATCGTTTTTCTCCGTACAAATATCTGCTTCGCGTAATTTGTATCTTTTTTTTCTCCTCCAAAGCCACAAGAAACTAGTTTTCAACGTGATTGATATCGAGAAATCGGTGGTCGCCGCAACTTTCAAAGCGTAAAATAATGCATCGGTCGAAAAAGGTCACCTCAATTAGCCTTAAGGGTTTCTTACGAAGCTCGCGATTAGAGTTTAAACGGCCACGGGATCATGATATATACATGTATATATATATATATAATACTGCAGCAATTCCGGTTCTTGCGGACAAAGTGTACCGTTTAAACAGACTGCCACGGAATCCGCCACGCTCACCGCAAACCACGGTAAGAAATTTAATATCCGCGTCCAGAAGGATTATTTAAAATGCCCGCTGGCTATGTTATCGGTAAAAAAGTTTGTCAAGTAAACCGTACACCCTTGTGCTCCCTTCACGTCAACCCAGGATTGCTCAGAGTTTTGGTAGGCAATCTTGCCTTTTCCCGACGGATTTTTCAAGAATAATATCAAAACTATATATAAAATTATTTGCGACATTCATTAATTATTTATTAATTTTTTACGCATAAAATATGAAACTATCTTTACGTGAATATGAAATGTGAATTACACGATGAATATTATAAATAAAAATTACACGCGACAATTGACATGTATTACAAATTTCTAATGGAATAATCTCAGAGGAAAAATTTCTTTAAAGATTTATTTAAATTTTAACAAAAAAAGACAATGATATTTATAGTTTGATCAGGATATTGAACGAAGTCGAATACGTCGCACGAGATTATGCGAAATTGTCTCTTGCTTGCGGTTGTCTCGAGAATGCCATTACGTCTACAAGGATGAAGCCATTACGGTGAGGCAAATATACGTCGAGAGTATTTTTCTATCGACGAGCGAAGCGTCTTTCGGAGCGTCAACAAGATGGGCGCCGCCGATGAGATGGCGATGAGCTCCAATCGATTGCCACTTGTCATTCGCATATTCGTAGCTGCTCCACTCATCCGTCGAACAAAGCGTGCGCGCCTAACGTGTGTACGTTGCGAGAGGAGCGCGGAAAAAGACGAGGAAGGAGGGAGAGAGAATAGGAGAAGAAGAGAGAGAAGGAATCAATAAAAGCATTTACTCTACCCTCAAAAGAACGGGTGGTGGAAGGAGAGTAGAAGGAGAGGGCAGTCGGACCGAAAGAGCGAATAGGGTGGCGATAATGAACAGGAGGAGCCGATGAGAAGGATGAAGAGAGAAAGAGGGAGACAGAGACAGGCTCCAGTATCAGAGGACACAGCGATGCGGGGAAAGAGGGAACAGGAGGACGAACGCGCGCGCCGGCCCCGGTTTGATTTCATCCGATAGGTTCGCAATAACAGTGCAAATTATTATTCCGCTCCCGTCCACATCGATCGATATGTCGCTCTCGATCCTATATATTGCATGGCTATGATCTGGAAACCGACACCGCCGACCTTCCCTACCGAGTAACCCCGCGGAATTAACCCAGGCAAAGCAGGACGGTTGAGAGGGGTGGGAGACGATGAAGAGACAGAAAGAGAAAGAGAAAGAAAGAGAGAGAGAGAGACAGAAATTCCCAAAGTGAGTGTTCATGGAGCAGAAAAATATCGACAGATCGTGCGCGCACACACACACACGCACACACATATATGTGCAAAGAACGACGCTTTTAATAACCGATAATATTTAACGTGCGTCGAATTCAATTTATAGGAATAACAGAGCTACGCTGTTTCTCCTCCATCGTCGAGATTTGACAATCGTCGGAGGGGGAGAGGGAGGAGAGGAGGGGGGGGGGAGGGAGCGATTCTGCGGCGGCCGCAAAAATCGCGAAAATGTAACACCGGCGCCTCGCCGGTCCGTTCTTTCCCGCGCGCGATGCGAAAAAAAAAAAAAATTCTCCCCGGTTTATTTGCCGACAATAGATACCGCCCGAAATCGTCGGCGTATATCGGCGTTATTTAGCCCCCCGAACATCGCCGATATTACGTCATTGCGATGAGCCGGAAAATCGGAGAGCGCGCTTCTTTGACATTTCAATGGCTCTCTCTCTCTCCGTGAAAAATGGTAACTCGAACGAGTGACCGCTTCGAAAGAAAATAGTTTGCAAGATCTACTAGTAGTATTTTTTCATTATTTTACAAATACACGCAATGACATTTAATTTTTAATTTGATTTCGAATGGATTCAATTTAAAAAAATTTGGAGAGCTCGATTACAGAAATACATATCCCGATAATGTCCTATCGTGTAGCCCTATTGTATATTTTCTATAATTATTAACTAGAAGCGATATGCTTAAAATGCGACACGCGACACCGGGGAATCCGCACGGGCGAATGAATGATATCGTATCATATCGCACCCGTGTATCACAAAGGTAACGCGCGAATTTATCCCGATACAAACATCGTTACAATAGTGGGATGAGTGACGGTGCGCTCTGACGTTCCAAGCCAGAAAAATATTGAAAAATTGACGGACGACGCGCTGCTACGGGCCTGTTGCTCTCTGTGTGTAGTGTTTAATAATGGATAATATTTGATACCAGATCCCCGCCTGGGGGCGGATATCATCGGTGCCCATTCGTCAGCGCCATTCGCCCCGCGCGCGCGGGAAACAGTTTTATAGCAAAAATCAAAAATATAATAAAATAACCCCTCTCGGAGTTTATTAAACCGCATCTCCCGTAGATTAAAAATTTTGCATCAATATATATTCGTCAAACATATTTATTATCCCGTTTTATATTATATGTATATGTATATATGTGCTCTATATTTAAAACACTGAATAGAATATTGGAAGAGAATTCTTTTTTTAACGAAGAATATATATAGATTTTACAAGAGAGAAAATTCGGGAAAGGTTTTAACAGAGACAAGAAAGTGGAGCAAATATAATAGATTTCCAGCGATAAAATAGCACAGCTACCAGTTGTTTTTTTTTTTTTTTTTTTTTTTGTATAGCGAGAATTCACGTTAACATCTTTATTTAATGATGTTATAATAGATATTAATTTTTTTTCATCATTTAAAATTATATTTCGCCCGATTTACCCAACGATTTTGATCTACTCACCCGATCTTATTTCTTTGTCGACGTCCTTTTGCAGACTAAATCATATTATCGTGAAATAACAATAAGTCACTAATTATTCGGAGTATCAAGTCTTAAGCGGATATATTGACATATTTTATACCGTCATTATCATAGGCATATATTTATTATAGTCGTGTTATTCGTAGCGAAAGATTGTCCCTGGCGCAAAAGCGGAATAATTTTCTGGGCATCGAGATAATAAATTATCCTTGGACGCAGAGAATAGCGTACGATCACGTGCCCCTTTCTTTTATCGAAATTAATATTGTAATTTTCAACCGATCCTCTCTCTCTGCTACGCTGCATTCTTTTTTTCTTCTGTTGTTCTCTTTTTTTATTTTTGTTACGAAAGTGCGCACTTTCGCCACGATTTATATCGTTGTTTCCTTTCGGTTTGCAAGAAATTTACGTACACGCAGCGGGAAGTTGCAGTTTCGCGAGTTTTCTTCAACAATAATTCTCGCGTCCGCGTCGAAAAGTCCTTCAGATTTCGTATAAGTCCGATAAAAATCGCTCGTTTGCCATTTTTTTTCGCAGAATATAATAAATATTTTTAAATTCTTATATTTTATTCAGATTTTTCCTCATTATTCAAGCGTATTTTAAAAATATATATGCAATATTGTTTTTACTGTGGTAGCATTTTTTTTTTTTTTTTAGTAAAGCATATCCGATGAACATTTACAATTGTCCGCGGAGCTTTTCAATTATGAATATCCACTACGTACATATATATAGGTATCTCTCAAGTCCATCGATCTTTGAATACACGTATACATATACAGGGTATATCATTTTAAGTGATGCAGCTGAATATCTCTTAAGGTCATTCAAGGTCAAGTCCATATTTTTATTATGTGACCCCCTCGAAATCATGCAACTTTTGTCTGAAACATTTTTTCCAATCTCTTTTACTTTAAGAGATATTTAGCTGCATCACTTAAAATGATACACCCTATATATGCGATGATCTTTGATAGTGCTCACGTCACGTCAAACATTCTATCGTATAGGTTGCTATACACCGAATATGTATTTCGTGTACACCGAAGGAGGATATCTCTCTCTCTCTCTAGTAGTCGCGAAACTCTGTAGTATTTGCGTCTACTTCGTGAAACTCGAGAAGATAGTAATTTGAAGCTCCCGTCGAGGGGTTTGGCGAGCGAGTGTTTATTCCGAAAGTGCGTATCGCGCTATCAGCGAAGCGCCGCGTCGGGACACATACGCGGAATATTCATAACGCTCTTGCGCCTTCTCACCATTCGTTGTAAATGACTTGCAAATGTTTCGCTAATTACAATACAGAGCCTCGTGCGAGAAGCTCGCTTAAACTCGGCTAATGAGTGATACGAGACGGAGCAACGGAGAGCGACGGAGATACAGACACAGAGTGAACGACCGATCATTGGATCTCTGTATTTATTTATTTATGTTTTTTTTTTTTTGTTATCATTACAGGCAGGAGCTTCGGCGAAAGAGGGAGGAATGCGAATGTTTCTTGAGAGCCAACGAGAAATCTCTGATGCCGATCGATACCGCTAATAACGTTGACAAAGTGGCTCGATTAATCTTGAACGAACAAAAAGGTACGTTGCATTTTTAGGGTGCATATATATATATATATATATTTATTGAATTTATAATAGAAATTTGTTGCAAATCTATTATATTTAAAAAAAGATTGTGTAATGTGTGTGTGTCTTAATTTGAGATAGCATTAGAAATTTGAAAATAGCTCAAATCACCCGAGTCTAATTTGGTATTTAAGCTATTGATTATCCTCAAAACGGTAAAACCATATTCTAACACATTATTGAAAATCGTACTCAGCCAGGATATTGTTAAGGCGTGTAATGTTATCATGAATGCGGTTGTAAGAGTGTAATCAGCAGGGATAACGAGAGGTTAGCGAGGCAAGATTGGCGTCAATATCGTTACCGGCGCGCTCACGTATAAGAGAGAGAGAGAGAGAGATAGAGATAGATAGATAGAGATAGAGAGGGATATGAAGAGGTCGAGAGATCTGCAATAAAGGCAGAGTAATAATGTCGCGTGCGCAATACCTACCTTCGTCCCTTCTCTGTCCCCGACTGTATCCGACTTGAAAATACAGGAACCATTCTCGGATTATGCGCTCCTCGGTATTGTCTTGTGTCTATTGACTGCCTCTTAGAACTGTACTAGGAATGGCTCCTCGGGATATGTCATTTTCGAACACGCCGAGTGGAATAAGGATCACCCCGCCGCTAGAGAGAGAGAGAGAGAGAGAGAGAGAGAGAGAGAGGGGAGAAAGATTCCTTTATATATATAATAAGAATTACAACGACTACACGATACACTATAAAAAAATTGCCTAAGAATTTAGACACATTTTTGTCTGAATTTTCAGATCTGGAGAAATTTCAGGCAATCTGTCTTAATCATCAGAGTCGTTTTCCTAAAATTTCAGGAGAGCGCGTCTGAAAATTCAGACAGTATCCTGTCTAAAAATTCAGATTATCTTTAATTTCAGACACTTTGAAGTTTCTCTTACGGTGTACTTACGCTACGTGTATCGCGAAGTTCGACGACGATATTATCGACAAACGAAAGCGGATAATATCGGATAACGCGAGTCAGATCATTCGGAAGGGATACGTGAACGGATGTACGTATACATGCAGCGAAGATTAGTACACACGTACAAGCGCATATATACGGAAAGAGAGAGAAACGCGCGCGACGAAGCACAATGGGATCAGCGGGTATACTCGATATTTCGAGTCGCAAATAGTCGATTATACCGAACCGCGTCTATCCTTGAGTTAATTACGCGCATTCGCAGAATACATCTGCCGATGTAGACCGCGCGTCCTTTACGTCGCGTTCAATCCACCGTGTGTCATAAACACACGCGGCAAGCGCGACAGATTAGGAGAAAGAGAGAGAAAGAGAGAGTTACAGAGAGAGAGAGAGAGAGAAAGAGAAAGAGAAAGAGAGAGAGAGTGAGCGTGAGAGAGAGAGAGAGAGAGAGAGCGTGAGAGAGAGAGAGAGAGAGAGAGCGTGAGAGAGAGAGAGAGAGAGAGAGTGAAAGGGGGGAAGGGGAGAGACATATAGAGATACAGAGAGAGAAAATGAGAGAAGAAAAAAAAGGAAGGGAAAAAAGGAAGTTTTATTTAAAATGAAAGAAAAAGAAGAATAAGCAAAAGATAAGAAGAGAGAGATAACAGAAAGTAAAATGTTAAATATGTTTAATATTTTTAACTTTGATTATAATTTTAATATGTGTGTGAGAGAGAGAGAGAGAGGGGGAGAGAGTGAGTGAGTGAGTGAGTGAGTGAGTGAGTGAGTGAATGAATGAATGAGTGAGTGAGTGAGTGAGCGAGTGATAGAGAGTGGTAGAGAGAGAGGAAGAAAGAGAGAGAGAGAGAGTGTTATAGAGTGATAGAGTTATAGAGTGATAGAGAGAGGGAGAAAGAGAGGGGGGAGAGTGATAGAGAAAGAGAGGGAGAAAGAGAGGGAGAGAGAGAGAGAGAGAGAGAGAGAGAAAGGGTGCGCGATGAATCAGGCACGTATTCTTCGCAGAAATTCTGCCTCGCGCGCGCGGTGACTTTGCGAACGATATCGAGTTTCGCCCCGTTTCGTCGTCGTCGTCGTCGTCGTCGTCGTCGTCGTCGTCGTCGTCGTCGTCGTCGTCGTCGTCGTCGTCGTCGTCGTCGTCGTCGTCGTCGTCGTCGTCGTCGTCGTCGTCGTCGTCGTCGTCGTCGTCGTCGTCGTCGTCGTCGTCGTCGTCGTCGTCGTCGTCGTCGTCGTCGTCGTCGTCGAAGTCGTCGTGGCATTGTCGGCGAAAATCCTATTCACCGGCGTGGCGGCAAGCGCGATTCTCGCGTCGCACAAAAGCCACCGCCGCCCCGTCGCCCCCTCCCCCTCCCCTCCCTCGTCTCGCCGGCCCGCAAAATATGTGATTCGCGAAGCCCGGCTTAAGACCCGCGCCGTGACGTCGCGTAAACTTGCATTCTCACCGTCCCCAATTCGCATTTCTCCGTCAGCCACTCTCTGGATAGATTTAACGTTACTCCCCCGCAAACCGCGTCTCTCCCACCGCCATTTTTCGCCGCGGCATCCTTTCCCCCCTCCCCCCCCCCTCCTCCGTCCTCCTCCCGTCCGGTGCTCTCGCGCGATTTAACCGCGATCAGAGTGGAGTATTCATCGGCTCTGAAGATATGTCAATCGGGAAAATTGCGATGATTTATCGCGAACGATTGTTGCACGATCTTGATAAAAATGGTATTTATACAGTACAATAGTAGGGCGCACAAATGGAAGAGAAAAGGAGTTTGAAAAATTATCGTGTACATCCGCGGTATATCTCGCTCGAATCAGGAGGCGCCGAACAGTCTACTTCTCTCGAGTGTTTGATAAAGATTTGGTAACGCTTTATCCCAAGATCTTAAAATGTGGCGGATTTGAGTGACTCATTTCCATCTAGAACGCGTTTATGTTCACTGTAAAAAATTTTCTAAAAATTCAGGCACGTTTTTGTCTGAATTTTCAGATCTGGGTGTCCGGGAGAAATTTCACAGATAATCTATCTTAATCATCAGAGTCGTTTTTCTCAAAGTTCAGAAGAGCGTGTCTGAAAATTGAAGGGTGTCTGAACATTCAGATCTGGGTGTCCGAGAGAAATTTCAGACAATCTGTTTTAATCATCAGAGTAATCTTTCTAAAAATTCACAAGAGTGTGTCTGAAAATTCAGACAATGTGTCTGCAAAAAAACTACGGACACTTTGTGTGTATCTGAAGTTTCAGTCAGTTGTTTTTTTTTTTTTTTTTTTACGATCTTCCAACTCATAGCTCGTTCGATATTTTCGCGTTGCTCTCGCGCAAGTATGAGAGCCGCGTTCGTCTTCTTGCGACGCGGATCGCACAGCTCATAATTCCATTCGCGGAAGCCTCCGAGGGGAGACCAATACTGTGTTAGGGCTCCGTTTTACAACTACTCCTCGATATCTTATCGACTCACGTTAGCCCCGCTTACCGAGGATGCGTCTAACCGCCTTCGCATCGTTCGTTCGTTCATTTGTTCCCGAAGAAGCTGCATCGTCGTCATGGTCGATGGGAACTGGAAGGAACGACGTCGTCGGTAACAGGGGGGGGGGAGGGAGAATAGCAAATTGAATCCCGCGGAAGCGTGTTCGGACGAAGCTCGGGCTCCCTTTGCGGAAAACGACACCGTGTCTCTCCGTCCTCTCTCTCCCTCTCTCTCTCTCTTCCTTTCGCTCTCTCTCTTTTTCTCCTACTTGCGAGATCGATGGGGAATCGAGTTATCGGCCTTAGTAGATCGAGCGTACCTGCGCCGCGTTAACCCACGAAACTTTATTGGCGATGCAACGCGTCGCGCGAACCCACGCGTGCCCGGACTCGCGATCGCCGCGAATTCCGGAAAATCGAGACACCCTCACTCGCGCGTTGCCCTCTATCCTCGGCCGTCTTTCGGGCACAGGTATCCCCCGCGATCTTGGTAAACCTTCCTCTCCCCCCCCCCCTTTCCTCCATCCCTTAGGAATGAGAAACGTCTTCCTCTCTCCGCGGCTTTCCGATTTCCGGTGAGCAAGAGACGATCGGCGGAAGTGATCCAGCCCGCTTTTCCGCAGCCCACGACGATCGCTTGATTCATCGAGGGTACCTCGTGATGAAACTCGATATCGCGATAGGCGCGAAAAATGAAGCGCATCTCGAACGATGCAGGTATCCCGAAAGTCGACGAAAATTATTATTGTAGCTGCAACTTTTCACGAAAGAATTATATTGTATATTTATTATCTATATATATATTTGATATTAATATTAATTATGTATATATAAATATATAAATTAGCTATATATTTTTAAATTACACGTGAAATAATTTAGATATCAAAACTGTATCGCGTATTAAAAAATATCTAGGAAGATATTTAAAAAAATGCGGTCTTGTAATTTTTTTATCATTTATCATCATCGATTTTACATTCTGGATGTTCTCCGGTGATATCGAATGTACTTCTAAGCTCTATTTGCCGGAGATACGATTTGACGATGTAGATAACGCGCGGTGGTTAACAATGTGAAAACTCGATATCCGCGGATCGGGTGGGATGTAAAAGGTCGATTCGAAAAAATTGCAATTCTCCGCGGATTTTCTTTCATCCGACCCTGTATCCCCCGATTAAAAATCGTCGACCGTAGTCGGATAACTCAGTTTGATAGTCGAATATCCCCTCCCCTCCTCCCCCCCTCGGACCCACTCATCCAGATGACGTACGGTGGAAGGGTAAACGATTGTTGACGTCGAGTCTCAAAACGGTGCGACGTTTATACGAGCGGTGCCGAGAATCGGGAGACAAAAGCTCGCGCTTTATTCCATATCGAGTGGCGGATTCGAGTTTCTATGGTCGGATTAACGCTGTGTGCCCTCTCCCTCCTCTTTCTCTCTCTCTCTCTCTCTCTCTCTTCCTCCATCTCTCTCTCCGCGGTATCGGTGTACAGGCTTTACGGGTTTGATTTCTCTCTCCTCCCATCTCCATCCCCCTGAAACTTCTGGCAAGTTGCATTAGGACTAAACTA